AAACCATTGACGATTAAAAGCATTTTCAATGATCATCTCCGCAAGCAGTAGAAATATATAAATCATCCTAAGATGTATTAAGAACAGACTACATTTGAGCATTTGTTCAACAACGCGACACTTCTGTAGACCTAAATAATAGACATCACAAAATGTGAAAACACAGTCGGAATCAGACTACCTGTCCGTCGGCTATGCGAATAGAACCAGTTTATCCAAGTGTTTATTCCACCTTGAGCAGAAGTTAAGCAATCAACTGATTTGAGCTTGGTAACCGGAGGAAGATCATAATCCCAGGAGGACCCAAACAATTTGATGACGCAATTAGAATCACTGTGTGCATAAAGTGATACGAGCAACCTGACACTTGATCAAAATACTTGTGGCTTTAAATGGTCAGGAGGCGCATTATCGAAAAACAGCTGATTTATGCTATCGGATTTTGTTTCTAATTTGTCACAGAACATTTTTTCATTTAACCCGAAAATTTCTTCAGATGGAATTATTGCGGACCAGATTTCCGCATTCCAAAAGGGGTTTATATAAACTGCCTTCTTATGTTTCCTTTGATTAATGTCCGTTCTGAATCCGGGGAAAAGCTCAAAACATGCATCAAACAGAAAAATAAACAGATAATATGAATTTTGCATCTGGTATAATAAATTCATTTTATAAACAAAGCCGATCCTAGAACCCGCCAACACAGTTTTGGCGACGATTGTTGTTAGCGACAGATTTCATTTGTGATACAATGTAATAAAAGACTTGTGTATTTGACCACACAACCCTCCCAATCGACGATTGGCAGATGAGACAAGACTTAAAATTGGAATAAATTTTTCACTAATCAAAAACAATTTCACTAAAAACTCGACTCCGTTTAACGAAAAACGCAGCGACGCAAAATGCAGTAAAACTCTGTTTTATGTCAAAAATCACAGAGGCAGCTTGTTGACTTCACAGGCTACTACCAACGACAGAGTGACACAAAAAAAGAACCGCAAGACGGTGTCTTTCAAAAAATGGGTTTCTTCCAGAAAAACGGTACTGAGATTGCAATAGTGTAAAATATGCAAACCTTAAACTGTGGCTGCGGTATCTGCAAAGCCAGTAATTCGACAAGCAAGCATTGCGGGCAATCCGGCGCGCAGCGCGATGAAATCGTTCATTTTATTACCTTCAATACTCTTTTGTTTTCAAAAATGAGAAAACCGTAGAGTAACGTTGCAAAATTAGAATCTGTGTTGGAAAGTATTGTTTGAATTGACTGTTTGTTTTACTGCATCAATTGTGTTTTTATGATTGGTCCGTGTAAGACTTTAATTTTGCCCAAATATGATTCGAGTCCAGTGGACTAGAGAAAATATATCGAGAGCATTTCCTGAAGAACCGATTTTGACATGATGGCAGTGGAAAATGATGCGAAATTCCCCATGTCGGAGAGACTACATAGTTAACTGCAGGTCCAACCGTCGGCGTACCTGATTATGGCTGATAACTGGAGACAGCGGTGAACACAGTATAGAGACTTTCGTACACGATGAACCGCGAATCCAGTCCCGTACAATTGGCTTTGTTCCGTCACACTTTTGGTCCGGCTGCTCTGCGTGTCATAAATGGACTCACTTACAGTCCGGATAAGGAACGTGGAGATTGGCAGGTGGTGGTCGTGAAGATGGAGCAGTACTGTCTTGGCGAATCCAACGAGACTTGCGAACGATACATTTTCAACCGGAGGAGACCGCAGCATGGTGAGTCTCTCGACGCATTCGTTCTGTGGCTTAAATCACTGGATCGGTCGTGCAATTTCTTTGCCTGTCTAGAAAAGAGGCTAATAAGGGATCGAATTGTCGTTGGCCTACGGAATTCTGCTGTGGTGAAGCGCCGCCTAAAAATTCCAAAGCTGAGATTGAAACCATGCATCAACATATGTCGGAGTGAAGAGGCAGCATGGAAGCATATGGAGACGCTTACCACAACAGAGGATTATGGATTGTGCAAAATTGCCTCTGAAAATCGAACGCATTCAACAGTTGCTTGCCGTTTCTGTGGCCGCATACATCTTATGGGAAGAAGCAACTGTCCTGCTTGGGGAAAAACGTGTGATAACTGCAAAAAGCGTAATCATTTTGCAGCAAAGTGTTTTGGGAAGAAAAAATCAACTTCAGAACATCACGTTCAAGCAGTTGATCATGTCAGTGTTGTACAACTACCGGCCAAACGGAAAGGCATATTTGCAAACATGTTAATGAATGGAGAAGTGACGTTCCAACTAGATTCTGGTGCTTCTGTCAACATAATATCGAGAAATCGCGTATACGATACCAAACTAGACCCAACCCAGACGAGATTAGTTATGTGGAACGGTGCAAACGTGGAACCGAAAGGACAAACCACTACTACACTGAAGAATCCCAGAAACGGAGTGTCTTCTGTCGTGAGTTTCGTCGTCGTGGAGTCGGTTTATGTTCCAATCCTTGGATACGAGTCCATCGAGTGACTTGGTTTGGTATCGTTTACCTATGATTCATTTGTTCATCACGTTTGTAAAGATACTGAATACTACCTGAAAAAGTATGCCTCTGTTTTTGATGGAAAACTGGGAAAGTTGCCAGGAACTGTGACACTTCGCATAAACGACGCAGCCGAGCCCGTTGTTTTACAAACGCGGCGGATCCCACTTGTTGTTAGAGAGGAATTTTCGCGTGAAGTGAATAACCTTATCACAACGGGCGTTCTGGAGAAAGTTGATGAACCCAAGGTCTGGGTGAATCAGGTTGTGGTGGTGACGAAAAGGTTTAGAGAATTGCGAATATGTATGGATCCAAAACCATTAAACAAGGCATTAAGACGGGAGCATTTCACCCTACCCATTTTTGACGATTTACTGCCAGAATTACCTAACGCACGTTACTTCACGAAGGTGGATTTAGCCTCTGCGTTTTGATATTTAGAGCTGGACGATAGATCAAACTACTTGACCACTTTCGGCGCGCCACTCAGGCGATATCGTTGGAAAAGACTGCCGTTCGATTTGAAAGTGTCAAGTGAAATTTTTCAGAAACGAATCCTCCAAGCAGTAAATGATTTACAAGGTGTTTTGTGCGTGGCGGACGACATTGTAATTTTTGGTAAAATGCAGATGAACACANTTGAAGGCTTTTTACAGCGTTGTATACGAGACGGAATCAAGCTGAAACAGGACAAGCTAATCTTGTGTCAATCGGGAGTCAGCTTTCGCGGTCACGTACTTACAAGCGAAGAGATCAAACCGGACCCGGAAAAGGTAAAAGCGATTGTAGAAATGCCTCCCCCAATCGATGCGAAAGGCTTATCACGATTCAATGGAATGATAAACTATCTCAGTAGATTTCTTCCAGAACTAGCGGAATTGATGCGGCTGATTTGACGTTTGACGCATAAAGGAGAACCGTGGTTTTGGACACAAGAACAATAGGCGGCTTTTGATCGCGTCAAGCAACTTATTGTAAAATCCCCAGTGCTGGCTTACTTCGATCCCATTGCACCTCTGTGCATACAATGTGACAGCAGTCAATTTGGTTTAGGTACCGTGCTCCTACAAAATGGCCGTCCATTAGATTACCGGAGTAGGACACTAACAGTCTGTGAACAAAGGTACACCCAGATTGAGAACGAAATGCTAGCAATTGTGTATGCACTGGAGAATTTCAATGACCATACGTGTGGTCGATTCACGCATGTATACTCGGATCACAAACCACTGATCATGATTGTGGATAAGCCACTCCAAAGAGCACCGAGGAGGTTACAGTCGATACTAAAACGTCTAGAGAAATACAATTATGAACAAGGTGAACGCCTGTTTGTGGTGGACACGTTGTCACGAGCCACACTACCCGACAAAGGACAGGAACAAAAGATGGAATCCGTGAACTTTGTATTGGCGGGGACGCAGTTTGAGATGTCTCACATACAAACTGCAACTATTGACGATCCGAGTACGGAAGAACTCAAATGAGTTATCACTCGTGGTTGGTCAGAAAGCAAAAAGCCCTTCCGATGGACGTACTGCCCTACTTCAAATTCCGAGATGAATTAACTGTGCACGATGAACTGATTTTTCGTGGTGAAAGGTTGGTCGTACGAAAAGCGATCCAACAAAACGTAATGCGTTTAATACACTGCTCTCACGCCGGTACCAGCAAATGCCTCAGTAGCGCCAGGGAGATATATTATTGGCCGGGTATGTCAGAACAGATAAAACAGTTGATTGCTAAATGTGAAATTTGCAGGAAGTTTAATCAGCTACAAACGAAGCGACTGATGAATACGCGTGAAATACCAGAGAGACCATGACAGATGGTAGCGCTGTATATTTTTTATCGCGGGAAGGACACCTACTTGATAACTATTGACTACTACAGTGATTTTTTCGAAGTTGATTTACTGCGATCCAGCACATTGGCGGAGATCATTGATAAACTGCGCGTTCATTTTGCACGACACGGAATACTACTTAAGGTGATTTCCGATGGTGGCCCCCAAATTCGTAGTACCTAATTCCTGAAATTCAGTGAACAATGGCGTTTGGAGCATCACGTTACTAGCCCCTATCATAGTCAGTTCAGTGGCAAAGGAGAAAGCGCAGTCAAACAGGCAAAAAAGCTTATCGAAGAATGCGGTGCGGATGGTAGCGAACCAATAACGGCCCTGCTCGAGTTACGGAACATACCGTCAGCCAACATGGGAACCAGCCCAATCCAACGTTCATTTGGCAGACGCACACGTATGGTTGTACCCACTTGCGACCAGTTACTACAGCCACAGACTACGCCATCAATACGCATACTGTCAAGTCTAAGGAAACGTAGGGTGCTACAGAAGAGGTATTCCGACTGCGGCAGTAAACCTCTCTCAGATCAGGAAACACAGTTTGGATACAACCACTGGAGCCAACGGAGAAGGTGTGAGCGAAGGGAGAAGTGATAGCGCGAGCAACAGAAAAATCGTACCTAGTACGCTGTGGTCAGTGGATAATACGGAGGAATACAGTCCATTTGAGGAAAAGGAAAGAGAATGGCGACGAAAACGAAGAAACAGAGGATTCAAATACCATCCAGGAGGATGTAGAAATCTGTGTACAAGAACCGCAGCAAGGAATACCAACGACGGGTATGACAGCACAATCTCCATTCCGAACACGAAGTGGACGGATATACCAATCAGGATTATAATGAAAAACTTTCAAAAGAAGAAGGATGTGTTGGAAAGTGTTGTTTGAATTGATTGTTTGTTTTACTGCATCAGTTGTGTTTTTATGATTGGTCCGTGTAAGACTTTAATTAATCTGATTGGTTCAGGGTTATATATAAACGCTTGTGATTCCCTTCCCAAATGTGATTCGAGTCCAGTTTGCCAACTAGAAAAAATATATCGAGAGCATTTCCTGAAGAACCGAATGTTGACAGAATCTGGATATATTCCACTGTAGCTCACGCATTACATGCACACTACAACTGGGCTATATCATCACCCTAGATGGGCCATTAAGTGCATGTAAAACCTTCCATGGATGGACTCTATATTAACGGGTACATTAAATCATGTACAGGGCACCGGGTGTTTACAAACTCTTGTGTTTGACCATTCAGTTTCAATACGCCCATTTTGTCTGACAACAACTTACTCAATCTGCGCATTACACTGTCTGTTGTTCTCACCAGACTGCTTTGTAACTCGTTCAGTTTAGATACTAATCCGATACTACTTGAGTGAGATATAAGAAACATCAAATTCACACTCCTTTTACATTTTATATATATGTACATATATGGGTGTTGGTTAAAATATTCCTAAATTAGCGTCATTTCGGCTTCACACTTCAAATTTCTGTATTTATTATTGTATTATTATTATTGTTGTATCATTAATATTGTATTTATTATTGACCTTATCTTTCACTTTCACGTTCCTAGTCCTCTTCAATCGCGTGTTGAATTTGAGTGAGCTTGAGCGTTGCGATACAATTTGCAGTAGTTCGGAAGTTACAGCTCAGATTTTGGAAAATATTTTATGCAAGGCAGTATGGAAATTTATTTTTTCTAATGATATCTGCTTCATGAGCGGGTAAATTAAGTTGAACGCAAGTATTCTAAATAGCTTAATTCGTTGCATTAAGTGCACAGTAAATAAATCAATTAATGAACTTATTTTAGCTTAACAAGCGAAATGGAATTCAGTTCACCCGAGCTACGAGAACCAATTTTCAATATTTTTTCAACAGATAAATTATGTGACAACAAACTACTCGCGCAATATCCCTAAAACTAAAAATATATTTCAAGAAACGTAAAAGTTGACTTTCGAAAGTTGACCTTGACGTGTGCGGGCCGATAAATAAGCGTCTTGTAGTGTCACCATGCCCAAACCGGATGAAACATGCAAGAGATTTTGAAGCTTAGAGCTGACTTATTCGAGAAGCACATGAATCCGATGAATCGGTTCAAGACGTGTGCCATTGCTTTAGTGGTAACATAAACCCGATGTATTGCACGACGAACTTGCTTTCTCCATCACGACATAAGCCATGACAAAGAGGTTCTAGTGCTATTTTTTTTACTGTGGATCCGTATTTTTAAAACTGAGGTCCCAACAACCGTCATCTGAATCGATAAATCGTACATTTCAATGGTATTCGCCCAATAATATGCAAAGAATTAAGTGAATATTAGTCCAGGTATGCTGCGTCTCATTTGGAGCAATACTGTATTCAATTCCGTGAGTAAAGTTCGCAAAACTAGCTTCGAGATGGAAATAAATGTAATTAAAAGCAATGTGTTGCACGAGTTTCATCAATATCCATGTATATCGATCGATGCACGCCACCGTCTTGACGTGTAGTAGTCTTTATTGCAAGAAATGTGTGGTAATAGCAATGGTTCTTTTTGTTTTAGCATTTTTGTCATCGTTTTTTGCCCAACAAGAAGCTCATATTTTGGTTGAGACTACTACACTTTTAAATGACGTGGATAACGTCGCATGCGGGCCCTCGTCCACCTGGATAGGCCGAGAGTAAAGGTAACTTTGATTGGGTGGTTGAATCTCTCGCATGGTTATTGGTCGCCGATGTCAAGCGATGGGAAGCAGGTCAGATAGGAAACTTCAACGACAAAGCAGCCACCAGTTTCTTGGAGTGCATACCGAATTTGGCTGAAACTAAGCATCAATCCAACCGAACAACTAAGTTCTCCCTGATTCCATGCAAAACCGCTTCAACTTTAGCTGATCGAAGCAATTGTGATTCAACTACGCAAGTCCATTTTGTTCGAGCACAAAACATTGTTTTCTACCCGGGCACCATGGCAAATGTAAACATAATACGGTAAGTCTCACATTGTTATAAACAAGTATGGAGGATAATCTGTCTCTTATGCAAACGGGGAGAAACAGCGATTTTCTTACCAGTTAACGGGTATACTTTGGGCCACGTAAATTAGATTTAATCCCTGAAATTAATTA